ATCCCGTGGAATCCAGTCAGTAACAGCTCTAGTCCAGCGGTTGTCTTTAAATCTCATTACGTGACCAGCCCATCTGATTTTCGACACCTTGGCAAATGAAACAGCGTCCCTGATTCTTGATCCTCGACGGATGTCAGAACTCCGGATTCGTTCTCTCATTTGAGTGAAACGTGATATTCCAAGCATAGCTCTTTCTATTCTTCTTTGGGAGACCTGAATAGCGTTCTCATCTTGTTTGCATAGGGCCCAGGTCTCTGAGGCATATGTTAATGCAGGAAGAACAGTGGAATCAAAGAGATGTGCCCGGAGCCGGAGGTTCTTCGTCCTCTTAGCTATTTCTTCGACGTTCTTGAAGGCGTTCCAAGCCGCTCTCTTCCTCCTGCGCAGCTCGGGTGCCAGGTCATTTGTCATGTTGACCTCTCGACCTAGGTACACATAGCTGTTGCATTCAGAGATGGTCGTTCCATTGAGAGCGAATGGGGCGTCAGGAACAAGGCTGTTTCTCATAAACATTGTCTTCGTAAGATTCAGCTGTAGTCCTACCTTTCCACACTCACGGTCAAAGTCGGCCAGCATTTGTGCCGCTTGGCTGATGTTTGGTGTTATTAAAACAATGTCATCAGCAAAGCGGAGGTGGTGTAGTTGCCGACCATCTATCTTCACTCCCATTCCTTCCCATTCCAGTCGTCGCATGATGTTCTCGAGGGTGGCACTGAAGAGTTTCGGTGAAATGGTATCACCCTGCTGCACCCCTCTCCTGACATCAACGATCACTTCTTTGTAGAATGGTGAGATCCTGGTAGTGAATCCGCAATACAGCTCACGGAGGATCCTGATGTATTGGGCTTGAATGCCCTGATTGGCTAGGGCTTCAATGACCGCTTCCTTCTCAACAGAATCAAAGGCCTTCTTTAAATCAATGAACGTTAGACAGAGCAGCATCTTGAACTCTCGAGAAACCTCAATGAGCTTGGTTATCGTGTGGATATGGTCGATGGTGCTGAATCCTTTGCGGAACCCTGCTTGCTCGCATGGTTGTCCTTCATCTACTGTTCTGCCAATCCTATTTATGATGACTCGAGTGAACAACTTGTAGATGACAGACAATAGGCAGATCAGGCGATAGTTGCCAATGTCATGGATGTCTCCCTTCTCGAACAGTAGTACGGTCCTGCTGGTTTTCCATTGGGACGGAACCTTGCATTCAGACAGGTAGCGAGTGAAGAGCCGAGCCAGTGTATTGATGAGTACTGACGGCAGGTTCTTCAGGTGTTCAGGTCTGACCTTGTCTGGGCTGGGTGCTGTTTGTTTCTTTACAGACGAAATGGCGTGTCGGATTTCGGAAGGGAGAACGAACGTTGGGAACGACATATCCATCCTGTGGAATTTGGTATGTTGGCAAGTGGACATGGCTATCGAAGAGATTTGAGTAGAAGTCATGGATAATCTTCTCCATTGCCGTTCTGGAGGATGTGATGGATCCATCAGGACGTCGGAGGGCAGTCATCTTGGTCTTATAGTTGGCGAAGGACAGGCGGGCGTTACGAATACTTTTCCCGGCTTCTGCCGCATCTACCAGCACTTCTGCTCTTCTCTCTTTGAGGTCTTCCTTGATCGCATCTCTGCACTGCTTTGCGAGCTCGGACGTTAGCTTGCGGTTGCCTGAGGCATGCGCCAAACCACGCTGGCGAATTAGCTCAAAGATATTTTCGAAGATAGGCGATTTTTTGTGGCTATCTCTCTCTTGGCGTTCCTCGCACATTCATGGAGGTGCTGAACCAGTCGATCGTATTCCTCGTCAATGTTGTCAACAATGGCATCTTCCCATGTTGCAGCAATAGTACCAAAGAGTTCCCAGTTGGTGGTCATTCTGGGAGTTCTCTTTTTGAACTTTGCAGCCCTTTCTCCCCGCTCTGTGAAGTAGAATTTTGCACGAAGGAGACGGTGGTCCTATCCCATTCAAAATTTTGGGACAACAGCGACATCAGTCAGGCAAAACCGTCGATTGAATATGATGTGGTCTATTTCGTTGTGGAATCGTCCACCGGGAGACTCCCATGTCCATCGTTTAGATTCTGCCTTCTGGAACTGTGAGTTACCATGAATGGTCTTGGTTGACATGATGAACTCAGACAGATGTATACTAGTATCATCATCTTTTCTAGTACCTCCTTCTTGATCATGAAAGCTTAGTATGAAGGATTGGGCATGAAGGATTTGGAGCCTCACCCAGAGGTGCTCAAGGCCTATTCCTGGTTTTATAAGACTCGTCTGTTTTGTTTAGTGAACACACCTGATGGAATTCAGGTGTTACTCCTGATTCTGTGCTCAAGGTCACTCCTGGTGGGCTCATGGGTGCTGAGGATTGAACCCTGGTTAACCAGGTGGAAGGCACTTAGCGACTCTGTTTCTCCAGCCCCTGGTTTTGTGCTCAGAAATGATGTCTGGGGGTGTTTGGATGACCATATGCAGTTCTGGGGATTGAGCTACGCTCATCAGGACACACAGCAAGTACCTTAACTCTTGTACAATCAAGCCCCAAACTGTTTTAAAGTTGCAAATAAGTATTTGTGAAAATGTAAACCCAGACAGAGCCACTCATGTGTTGAATTTGACTGTGTTTCTAAGCTAATGCTTTCACTGAACAGTGATTGAGACAAATGGAAGAAATAATTTACATTGGTATTGGAAGTAGCCAGAATCTTCAAATAATTACTCTCTTTACAACCAGACGCGAAGTTTCTGGTGAAGTTTCTGCTCTGATGTAAGAGAAAGTGGGGTTTGAGATGTGTGAGTGTGTGTGTGTATGTGTGTGTGTGTGTGCTATATCCACTGTGCTCACTTTTAGGGCTTACTTTTAGCTTTGTGCTCACAATCACTCCTGGGGTGCTCAGAGACCATATGGGGTGCTGGGGATTGAATCTGGTCTGGCTGCATGCCAGGCAAGTGTCCTACCTGGTGCTGTGCTATCTGTTCAGAGCAGGAAGTGATATTTGAAATGTTACTACATCCATATACTATCCTCAGATTGGCAGTGGACATAATGCTGGCACCCAACAATGCACATTGCTTGTGCCATAGGGCACCACACAGATCTCACGTGAATTTGGTTCAAGTCTCAGACTTGTCCAGAGGATTCCTCCATTAGCGGAAAGATTACTTTTGATTTTCCCAGTTTGACATATCCTCAGATCTGAGAAGGTACCCAGGAAGCTTCACCCAGAAGCACTGGTGCTGGTCTCAGAAGCCCAAGTGACTGAAGGGCAGTAGATGGAGGTGCCACTCTCATTGGGAGGTGCTGAACAGATAGCACAGCACTTGACATCTGCATTACCGTGTGTGTGCACACAAGTGCATGGGTATAGGGATGAAGGCCACACCATTTCTTGAAATGTCAGGAAAGTGTGGCCCATAGTTGTATCAGAATAGCTAGTACATATGTTTATTGAGAATATGAATCAAAATCACTATGTTCACTCACTGATAAGTATGCTTCTTGTTTTGATTCTAGGAAGTAAATGGTATGCTACATATCCTGTAAGATCAAGGTGAAATCCCTTTCTGCAGCAGACCTTGGTTCAAGTCCTAGTTTCAGCACTTCCCACCTATGAGACAATTACTTCCCCTCTCTGTCTCATCCACGAAATGAGTAATATGGAGTGTTAAGTCAATGTGATTGTACACTATGGGAGTTGGCTGTGGGCACCTTCTACAGCTCTTTTTGATGCCTCAAAACATTTTATTGTATATTAATCAGAGTGAGTGCTGAGCCTGACTGTAAGGTTGATGTATGTAATTATGGCTGACAGTCGAAGAAATCCTGTAAACTCTGGGCCCAGTAACCTGCATCAGATTCTGTTCCATTTCTGTCAATCCCAGGATGCAGGACACTGGGGCGCAGTACAGTGCCTGACACCCAGTCTTGAACCCTGCTGGAGACCTGTGGTATGGTTCCACATTGGAGTGAGGTAGACTACTAAGACTCAGCTCCCACAAGACAAGACTTGGAGATAATTTAGGAAAGGGCAGTGCTTAAATTTTTTAACTGTTTTTTGGTAACACAGTTCCAGCAGTATTTAAGTTTTATGGTTCTGATGTGCAAAGTGATGTGCACTACAACACCTCCAAAGTGCCCAAGACCTTCCATTACCGTGTCTGTATCACCTTTGGTCTACCTCTTTCTCCCTCCTCTCCCCACTGTTTGTTACTCTCAGTTTTGTAATCTAAGGTCATAAATTTGAAATTTTACCTTTGACCTGGATTGTCTATGTACCACAGTGAGAATATCCAGTTATTTTTTCTTCCTGTATCTTATTTTACTTGATACCTTCCAATTCCACTCAGGTTATAGCACATTGCATGATTTCATTTTTTCTTGCATGTCATTATTATTCCAGTGTAGTGTGTGTGTGTGTGTGTGTGTGTGTGTGCGCACGCGTGCTTGCACATGTGTGCCTGTATACATGTCACTTCTTTTTTCTATTTATCTGCTGCTTTTTCTATTTTTCTATTTTTCTCTGTCTGTGCATATATGTCATTTCTTTTTCTATTTATCTACGGCTGGAATTTGGGTTGTTTCCATAATCTGGCCATTACAGTTAGTGCTACAGTGAACATAGTTGCTGTGTAGATCTTCTGGAATTTATTATTGGATCATGCTAAGAATTGGAATCACTGAGTCATGGATATTCTATACTTCATTTTTCAGGTATCTCCATACTGTTTCCATAGAGCCCACAAAGGACCATATTCCCATCAATATCTTTCCCCACATCCCTGACAACTCTGGTTGTTGCCAGTCTTTTTGACATATGCCATTTTAAGTGAGATATCATCTCACTTCTTCCCCCGCCCTCAGAATTCTGCCTTTTCAGGACTATGTAGGCAGCATCTCACTGTACAAGCCCAGGAGGTACCATTTGGATCAGGAAAATTCAGATATTGAGAAAATGATACAAGTAGCAAAGATTTATTAGTGATGGACTATGGGAAACATAGTGAGCAGGACTGGGCAGGAAAATGTTCAGATATGAATGCAGACCTGATGTAATTTCTCACTAATTGCTTGGCGTGGCTCAGGGTCCATCATCAGTGGATACTCCTGGAAAGCAAAGAGATTTGGGTTTACTTCAATGGCTTCGTGTTTTTGTACATGCATTTTGTCTACCATAATGTGGGCTCTGAAGAGCACTTCAGAGTGACTGTATCTTTGGCTTTACACGACTGTCGTCATATCTTAAAAGACAGATCCCTAAACTTACATTCTCATAAGTATCTTTTCCTTCTGTAACTGTCGTCCTGGATTTTAATATGACTTTATCTTATTATTTCAAACAAAGTTTGAACTTCAGGGCCTATGCCGTTACATTCTTAGATTGATTTCACTTGAATGAACAGTTTTGATGATCTGTATGAGATATTTTTGTTTCCACAGTGAGTCTGGTGAGTGTCCAACATGGGCAGACATAATACAGTGACTTTATTTATGGACATAATCATGTCCCCTCAAGACTTTAAACAAATACTCTCTCCTCCACAAATGAAAGCAAAACAGGTTTGAGGCAATAGTTCAATAGAGAACACATGTTCTGAATGCAGGGGACCCAGGTATTGCGTGGCTCTCTGACTATATTTAGGAGTAACTCCTAAATACAGCCAACTGTCATCCTTAAAGCAATAATAATAACAATTTTTAAATGTAGTCAGCTTGGGGCTGAGAATGGAGCTCAGTAGTAAAGCACTTGCATGCATGAGACCTGGGTTAATATTCAGTTCTACCGGAAAAAAAGAAGGAAGGAAGGAAGGAAGGAAGGAAAGAAGGAAGGAAGGAAGGGAGAGGAGGAAGAAAGAATAAAGAGGAGAAAGAAAGAGGAGAAAGAAGAGGAAGAAAGAAAGAAAGAAGAGGAAGAAAGAAAAAAGAAGAGGAAGAAAGAAAGAGGAGAAAGAAGAGGAAGAAAGAAAAAAGAAGAGGAAGAAAGAAAGAGGAGGAAGAAAGATAGAGGAGAAAGGAAGAACAAAGAAAGAAAAAGAAAGAATAGAATAAAGGAAGAAGAAATGAAGAAAAAGAGAGAAAGAAAGACATAGAAGAGAGAAAGGAAGAAGAAATAAAGAAAGAGAGAGAGAAGGGTGGGGTGCCATGACAGTTCCCTGGGAGCAGGAAGGAGTGGCGTTTTTGATTAGGAGTTAAGTCACTACCCTGCACGGGAATGCTCGCTGCTTCTCTGGAATCTGCATCCCAGGTCCCCATCACATTGGTTTCTGTCTCCTGGGTTCCTCATAAAGATTGTTATTTCGGCTATGTTTTTTAATTACCTCTATATGCAGTTACAAAGCTGTTCATGATTGGTTTTCAGTCATACAATGTTTCAACACCCGTCTCTTCACCAGTGTACATTTTCTACCACCAGTATCCCCAGCTTCCCTCCTGCCAACAGTCTCTCTCTCACCTTTTGGGCATTCATTCTGGTCTGCATACTGAAAGGTTATCATGCTTCTTGTTTCTTTACCTACCTTCAGCATTCAGTTTTTGTTTAGAGTGATCATTTCCAAATATCATTATCATAGTGATCCCTTCTCTATCCTACCTGCCCTCTCACCCCCCACTCCCACCCCCCCAACCATGGACCAGTCCTCCCAGACCTTGTTTCTACTGTCCTTGGGTATTAGTCTCATACTATGTTTTTTTTAAATATTATATTCATTCTTGAAGATGGAAAAAGATTGGTCTTCAGTAATAATTACACACCAGATCCTTTCCTAGGCACTAAAAAATCATAAGACCTCAACTGTACCCTGAAATGCATTCATCACCACCTTGTACCTGAGTCTCATGTAGGTGTCTTCCATGACCCGTTCAGCCAACTCCAACTTTCTCTCACCAGATTTAATCTGTAGGAGAAAAACACACCTATGTTTAATCGTGGCCAACTATTCTATATACAGAGGGAAAGGGGCAAAACATGAAACAAAACATGTCCAGATGTGATGGGTTACCTTATCCGAGCAGAGATCTGAAAAAGTCTATACACACCACACCCCGTGTTTAGCTTTTGGGGGCCATTACAACATCTGCAGGGGGTGTGAAGGGGTCAACTCCTGGGGTCGATTGCAAGTTACCTGCTTCTGGAAAGTGGAATCTGCTTGTGAGAGTTGGTTTTGAATTTCCTCAGCTTGTTGCCTATAAGATATGATTGCTTCCATCACATAAAGTATTAATATTGAGCATGACTTTATGTTGGGGGGGGGGGAGGAGATGGAATGCTCTCCAGAGATTTTGTGGGGCCTGTTGCCATACTGGGAATTCTCAATCTGGGTTGGCAGACCTGCAGATTTCAGTGGTCAGCTTGGTGATACCATGCTTCTCCATCACTGAAATTGTCTGTGAAGCTAGGGGAGTGTTGGCTGCAGTTCCAGGCGTTTAATTCAAGGCCCCCTGCGTGCCGGGTATGAATTCCAACCTTTTGATCGATCTACCCAGCACTGAGGATTATTTTAAGTCAGCTCCCTAATTCTTTTTGCAGTATATGTTTCTTGATATGTTTTACCTATTCATGTGTTTCGCCATTATAGAAGTATCAAGCATTGCTAATTAGTTTATGTTTTAATATCTTCATATGAAATGGTTCTGAGTTGTTATAGTTTACCATTATCAGAATTTCTCTGATTTATCAGTAAATGAGCATCTTTCTTCATAGGGTTCTATTCTCCTTTTACTTATATGCCTATAATATATTTTGTACTATAAATAATTATAGTACCAGCATTGCAAAAAAAGAGAGAGATCCAAATTCTAATTAGAGATGTGACCTAGCCTACTGTTTCAGAAAGAATCTGACAGTTTACACCAGCCCGAGAAGTGCTTGCTTGTGCTAAGTTTCCCCGGTCTAGAGAACATTATGCATCCGGGAATTTTAGTAAGGTATTTTTTAAAAACTAAAAGTGAACTGTTTTCCTTCTGTCAGTTCTCTTTATGTATGTCCCCTGAACTTCTATTCTTATTACTCTGTTAACTGAATCTAAACATTCAAAAAAGGTTAAAAACAAAAAGTCCAGGTGGTTCCCTGGCCTCTTCTAGTTTGAATTTGAACTCACTTGTACTTTTTTATCTCATCTTCAAGTGATTCCAGCAAATCCTTTGATGTACATAGTTGACTCTCCAGTTTGACTCTTTCTTGTTGTTTCCTTTTTAGCTTCCTTTCATGGAAAAGAGGCACAATTGTCCAATAACCTCTGTGAAACTGCCCTTCCAACCTCCCAACAGTCTGAGGGTCTGGATTCATCATACGCTTTCACTCAGGCGGATGGTGGTTCCTCTGCATTTGCCATTTTCTACCTACCCATTTGTAATAAAGTAATCAAAAGCACATAAAAAGGTACTGCACATGCTCCTAGATTCTGTATGAGATGCTGAGAGCTCATATTATTTAAACACATAAATCTATGCTTGACCAACCCATCACAACTACATTATCTTTTTTTTTTTGGTAGGGAGCACACCTGGGGGTACTTGGGCTTATGCCTGACTCTGCCCTGAGGGTTCACTCCTAGTGGGCTCAGGGGACCACAAGGGTTGCTGGGGATTGAATCTGCATCAGTAATGTGCAAGAAAAGCTCCTTTCCTACTTTACTATCTTTCTGTCCCCACAACACATTCTACCATGAAACAGGGTTCACGACTAGTCTCACTCCTGCATTGGGACTCCTAACTTCCATTTTCAGGCTTTTCTCTGGCACATACAGCAGTCACAAAGAGAATCTTCCGGGACAGAGCCCTCAAAAGACTGCTGTTCATTACCAGACATGTCTAAGGTTCAGGAGTGAAGCCCCTGCCTCTTCCCTGGTATATTTATTTAAGGAATCAATATAAATTCTTGTGCTGGCAACATTTATTAACTGCAAAAGAATTGGTCATCCACAGCCAGGGTGGTATCTCTAGGAAATACAGTCAGATGTACAAGAGTTAATCCCTGAATGTCAGTCCATTTGAACAAGAGCCAGGTCATGAAGAATAAAAGCAGCAAGAAACAATGGGTTGAAAAAACTTCATGGTCTGTGTCACCATCAGAAAACTAGGTTCTGAATGAAAGTATTTCAATATGACACTTGATTTACTATAGAACAACACACAAAATTAGAAGACCACATAAAGTCAAGAGGACAGAAATTAGACTATCTTCTTAGACTATGATGCACTGAAAATAGAAGGTAATCACACACAGAAATGGATAAATAACTCAAACTCCTGGAAATTAAACAGATCACTTCTGAACAACCAGTGGGTGAGAAAGGAAATCAAGAGGTTTCTGGAAATCAATGATAATCACAATACAAGCTAGCAGAAGTTGTAACAGTAAACGCAGCATTAAGAGGAAAATTCATAACTATGCAAGAATTCATCAGGAAATAAGAAAGCACCCACATAAATAATATAACCACATATCTTAAGAAACAGGAAATTGACCAACAAAAGGACCCCAAAGCAGGCAGGAGGAAGAAAATAATAAAACTCAGAGCAGAAATTAATAAATTGGAATACAACAAACAACAATCCAAAAGATAATGAAAACAAGAGCTGGTTGTTTGAAAAACTAAAGATTGATAAACCACTAGCAAGATTCACGGAGAGAGGAAAAAACCCTAATTAACTGAGTCAGAATTGAAAGGAGGAGACTGGTCCAGCCTTTTAAGAAAATAATATGGGTAATTATTTCTCAAAAATCTAGAAATTGAGTTCCGATTTGACTCAGCTATACCACTTCTAGGAGTATACCCTGGGGCCCAATAACACATGACACAAACATCATCTGCACTCCTATGTTCATTGCAGCACTATTCATCATAGCCAGAATCTGGAGACAACCTGAATGCCCAGAAACAGACGAATGGATAAAGAAACTATGGCACATCTACACAATGGAATATTATGCAGCTATTAGGAAAAATGAAGTCATGAAATTTGCCTTTAAGGGATGGACATGGAGAGTATCATGCTGAGTGAAATGAGTCAGAAGGAGAGGAACAGATATTGAATAACTGCATTCATTTGTGGTACATAAAAATAATACATAGTAGAAGACTAAGGGAAAACAGGGTTTAGGAGCACTGGTCAATGGTAGGAACTAACCACAAGTGTGTAGGGAACTGAGGGTAGATAAGATAGAGAAGAGACCAGTATGACAATAATAGCTGGGAATGATCACATTGGACAAGATCTGAGGGTTAAAAGTAGGTAAACGGATTTTCTTGATAACCTTTCAGTATCAATATTACAAACCACAATGACCAAAAGGAGAGGGGGGGGAGAGAGAGAGAGAGAGAGAGAGAGAGAGAGAGAGAGAGAGAGAGAGAAGAAAAGTATCTGCCATAGAGAGAAGCAGGTGGTGGGGTGCGGGGGTGATGGGAAGGGAACCTAGGGACACTCATGCTGGGAAATGTACACTGGTGGAGGGATGGATATTGGAATACCATATGACTGAAACTAAACATGAACAGCTTTGTAAGGATCTATCTCACAGTGATTCGATAAAAAAAAAATGAAAGAAAAAAGAACTGAAAGGGGAAATGTCACAACACATACCACAGAAATTCAAAGGATCACCAAGGAGTACTTTGAAAATCTTTCTGCCAGAAAACAAGAGAACCTAGAAGAAATGAATGAATTCTTGGACTACTGTAACCTCCCAAGGTTGAACTAAAAGATGGAATGCCGGAATAGACCTATCACTATCAAAGAAATTGAAATGGTAGTCAAGTCTCCCCAGGGGCTGAAGCAATAACACAGCTGATAAGGCACTAGCTTTGCATGCAATCGACTTGGGTCTCATCCCCAGCATCCCATATGGTCCCCACCACCCCTCCCCCGACCCACCAGAAGTGATCACAGAATACAGAACCAGGAGTAAATCCTGAGTCCACTGGGCGTGCCCTAAAACCAACCAAAAAAGTCTCCCCCCAAACAAAAGCCCAGGTCCAGAAGGATTCACTAGTGAGTAAGATTAGGCACAAGACAAATTTGCTTACTCTCATCATTTCTATTCAATATAGTACTGAAAGAATTTGTCACAACAATTAGGCAAGAAGAAAGATATTAAGGGCATCTAGATAGGAAAGAAAGAAGACAAGCTTTTACTCTTTGTGGATGACTTGATACTATATTCAGAAAACCTTAAAAATTCTACAAAATAGCTCCTAGAAACAATAGATTTATAAAGTCTCAGGCAACAAAATTGACATGCAAAAGTCCATGGCTTTCCTATAAACAATGAAATCCCACTCAGAATTATGCCTCATAAAATAAAGTACCTAGGAAACAGCTTAACCTTACAAAGCGCTACTTAAAGAAATGAAAGAGGAAATGAAAACACAACCCCTGCTCCTGTATTGGGAGGATTAACATCATCAAAATGACAATACTCCTAATGCATTATACAGATTTCCTACAATTCCTATGAAGATGCACATAGCAGTTTTCAAAGAAATAGATCAAACACTCCTGAAATTCATTTGGAAAAATAAACCCTGTTTCGTACCCCCACGTGCAATAGTCAAGGAATCCTTGGGGAGAAGATGGGAGGCATAACTTACCCAACTTCACACAGTACTACAAAGTAGTAATTAAAACAGCATGTTTATGAGCTTTTATTTGACCCAACAATTCTACTGCTGGGAATATAACCAAAGGTCCCAAAAGCACAATGAAGAAAATATCTCTACCCTCCTATGTTCATTGCAGAACTATTCACTATAGCCAAAAATTTGAAAACAACCCAGAGTGTCAGGAACAACTGCCTAGATAAAGAAGTTTTGGTACATCTACACAATCAAATACTACTTAGCCATAAAAAAGATGAAGTCTTACAATTTGCTGATGCATGGATGAATCTGGAGAGTATCATGCTGAGTTAAGCGAGTGAGACAAAGAGGAACAGACACAGAATGATCTCATTCATATGTGGAATACAAAGAAATATAGTAGTCAAATAACTAATTCCCAAAGACAATAGGAAAGAAAAGCAGGAGAACTGGTCCTTAGTAAGAAGCTTATCACTGTGGAAGCTTATCACAGTAGTTCAGACTTTGGAAGGAATAACACAAAAGCCAAGTATAAGGGATGATAAGAGCTTTACTTTTGTATGTGGGTAAGAGGGTCTGTGGTTTTTGGTTCCCCACTAAGAACCACAGGAAAGTAGGAAAATATAAAACACACGATTGAATTCATCATCGTTCTAACAACACAACAGAAAGACATGAAACCAAGATGAAGAAGAAAGTTCAGTCCAGTTCTTGGAAAAAAATTTCCCAGATAAATCTACAAAATTTAAAACAATCTCAACAGCCAGAAAACTGAATCACCTTTTTACACATGTGTTGACTTAGGACGAAAATGTGGACTTGGAGTCTGGTAACAAAGGTGAGTCTTAGTGATGCCACCAGCTTTGGTTGGGCCCTAAGAGACTTACTGGGTAGGGATAAAGATATACTGGAGACACACTTGCCTTTGTAGAGGTTGGGCTTGGAATGAATGATGCCAGTTACAACTGATTTCAAGGCATCGAGACTGCTGGCACCTCTGAACACCTACCAGAAAAAAACTCCCATATTTTGTCAACATAAGTCGATATTTTTCTAAATATTTTTGACCATGCAAGGCCTGTCACTGAATAAAAAGTTATTTAACACAGATCTAGACAAGGCAGTATGAAAGGATTCAAACTCAAAGATGGGCCTAGAGTAGAATCTGAGATGAGGAGATTAATGCCCATACATACTCACTACCCAAATATGAGATAACTGGCTAGATCAGAAAGAAAAAATGCAGATTTTAGAAATCAAGGTAGCTAGGGCAGACACAATATGTACTGAAGGATCTAGTGTAAATATCTTGGATCTGATGCTAAGAGAAATAAAGTTGTGCACATTAGAGATATAGTCATTCATACAACAATATTTGTTAGAATTCACACAAAGCACCTTACTTTTCTATCTTGGCATTTTTCTGTTGATATAATGTCAACAAGAAGTAATTTTTATTCTTCAGTTGTCTGAGTTCCACTTTTTTGTTTTTCTGCAGAGATCTCAGCCTGCTACAACTTTCTTCCAGCTTCCTTTTCATTTCTGTGAAGAAAGACTTATTTTGCTATCTGCCTGCATGGGTTCGGTCAAAAAGGAGATGGGCAGAACCTTCAAGGCAGCAAATTTGCCTTCCCAATACCAACTCATTCCCATATTAGGAGATTTCATTTCTTCCCATTAATCAATATACCTTCCTGGTTGTGTTTACGAGATCTCAGGTCATTCCATTCTGATCTCTCAGTTCCAGCGTTCACTTCTGACTGTTTGATAGGTGTTGGAAAAGATGACATATGAAACAAACATCAGAGGCCACGGAGACAGTACAGGGTTAAGGCTCTTGCCTTGCATGGCTGCCTGGGTTGGGTCCCCAACACCACACAGTGTTTTCTGACCACTACTAGGACTGATCCTTTAGCATCAAACCAATAGTGAGCCTGAGCATCACTGGGTATGGTATAATGCACCCCCCCTCAAAAAAATGCTGAAAAGAAACAAACATCTGCCTTAGCTACCCCATGTTTCATGTGAAAGTGATTAATCCATTTTGGACTCACACACAAAAAAAGTGTAGCACACAACAAAAAGAAATGCAAAATAAATAAAAGGTCCTAAGCTATACATTTTTGTGTATCCGTAGAATTCCTCCTTACTGAATAGTGGGACAGATGGCCATATGTCAAGGAGAAAGCAAATAATATGAAAAATGGCTTTGCTTAATGTCTATCAATATAAAGTTTAAAGAAATATACAAATTTGTTCATATTTATGCATATATAAATGTATCTTTATATTTTTTCTAATTGCCTCAAACTCATACCAAGTTTCAGCATTATGAGGTATCTAGAGACTGAGCAAGTTGTTTAGATACTTTCCTTTCACATCTTTTCAGTGAACTACTCGACATAACTTGGGAGGTAATGCTGAATGTGAAGGGATTTTCTAAGTTATAAAAAAAAAAGAGGGGCAGGAGCAATAGTACAGTGGGTAGGGTGTTTGCCTTGCATGTGGCCGATCTGGGTTCGATTCCCAGCATCCCATGTGGTCCCCCAAGCACCGCCAGGAGTAATTTCTGAGTGCAGAGCCAGGAGTTACCCTGAACATTGCTGGGTGTGACCCAAAAAGCAAAATAATAATAATAAAATTAAGAACACTTCCTAATCTCTGAAACAGAAAAAGTTTCTGGGATATGGTTGAGTTCCCAGCCCACACTCTATCACACTCTACTGTGGTACATAAAAAGAGAATGTGAACACTTATTTTGTCCTACCTAACACAAGTTCATACGTCAAAATGAGACAAAGTCAAGTTCTTACCAAATCCTGATTCTTGACATTCATAGCTCTTTGAGATTCCAATACAACATGTGCATTTTGAAGCATGCTGTTTAAGTGGTTATTTTTCCAGTCAAATCTATTGATGTTATCCTGCACCAAAGTATATTGACTCAGAAATAATTGTTCACCAATTTTACTACTTCTTTTCCAAGAAAATACAGAAAAGAAAAAAGTTTTACCCTATACATGGCTGCTTCATTGGATATCATCTTATTTTGACTCTTAAATTCTTGGAGCTGTTTCTTTGATTCATGGATCTATATATACATATAAAAAATCAGAATTTAAAGATATTGCTGTCCTAGATAAACTTTCATTTCAGTGTGTGTCTCCTTGCATGTATGCACACACAGAGTAATGCTTTAAATATGAAAACTTTGTAGACTTGTTCGAAAGAGTACGGTAGGTTGAAAAAAGAATTACCAAGATATCTGCATTATTAGAGATGGTAGTCAGTGTAAGTAGAATTATGAGTATAATCTCACCTTTTGCTTCCAAGTGGATAGATTTACTTCTATTTCTGTGTTGTCTTTCATGAAAACTTTGATCTTCTCAGTTATCTGCTGTGAACTAACTAAAAGGAGATGGAACAATTCAATTTCTAAGATATTTAGGCACACAGAACAATGGAATAATACCGGAACTGGAGTGGTAGCACAGTGAGCAGGGCTTTTGCCTTGCATGTGGCCAACCTGGGTTCGATTCCCAGCATCCTATATGATCCCCGAGTAATACCTGAGTGCAGAGTCAGGAGTATCCCTTGTGCATAGCCAGGTGTGACGCAAAAAGCAGAAAAAAAAACCTCAATATATTAGCAACATGAAAACATAATCTGGCATGAGTGACAAAGACTTTTTCTTTATCATCGTGCCTATAGAAAGCAACTTTTGGTGTCAGTTTAAATATCAGAAATTTTTAAAATAAATTATAGTCTTATTTTATTCAACAATGAGGAAACACAATAAAATATCATTTCTTAGCATCTCCCCCATCTATAATCACATTCTTAGGAAATTCAGTAATGTCATAGCTGTGCTTTAATTGAGGATAAAACTGAAAAATAAGTACGCTCCCAATCTGCATTTTCTTCTACAATTATTAAGGTAAATAGACTCTCATAAGAACAAAGTAAAGATCATTAGGTTGTCCAGTTTTTTGCTCCCAGCCCCTTTCAGTTACTATTTGCAATTTCACATTAGAAAATGCAAAATGCTGACTGATTTTATTCTCAAAGGCCTCCAATATCTCCCTATTGGTGAGTAGAATAGATTCATTAGATCCATTTGAGGGGCTCAGAAGGTCAAAGTCTTTGTAATCACACTTGCATAAAATGTGCACTCAGAGAAGAATAAGGTAAGGCCTAGAACACAGTTCAAAGTTCCAAACTCATCTGATAGACGTATACTTAATTTTAAAAATTTATTTATTTATAGTTGAATCGGGCTGGAACAATAGCACAGCGGATAGGGCGTTTGCCTTGCACGCGGCCAACATGGCCAACCCGAGTTCGATTCCTCTGCCCCTCTCGGAGAGCCCAGCAAGCTACCGAGAGTATCTTGCCCGCACGGCAGAACCTGGCAAGCTCCCCGTGACATATTTGATATGCCAAACACAGTAATAAGTCTCACAATGTTACTGGGCCTGCTCTAACAAATCGATGAACAAAGGGAGGACAGTGATACAGTGGTAGTTAAATCACCATTAGATACAGAGTTATAAAGCTTGTTACAATGTTATAACACCTGTCCCTTCACCAGTGAACATTTTCCACTACCAGTTCCCCTGCCACCCCACCCACCAGCCTCCAGTCTATGACATGCACTTCTCTCTCTCCCTCTCTCTCTCGCCCTGTCTCTCTCCTTCCCCCCTCCCCCCTCCCCTTTTGGGCATTATGGTTTGCAATATAGGTGCTGAAAGATTATCATGCATATCCCTTTACCTACTTTCAGCACTCAGTTCTTGTCTAGAGTGATCATTTCCAATTATCATTCTCATAAAGGTTCCTTCTCTAACCTAACTGCCCTCCACCCACACATACTTATGCCAAGATTCCAACCATGGGCCAGTCCTCTTGATCTCTGTTTTTTCTGTCCTTTGGATATTAGCCTCTATGTTTTTTTTTTTATTCCACAAATGAGTGCCATCATTCTATATCTGTCATTGTCCTTCTGTTTCATTTCATACAGCATGATACTCTCCATGTCCATCCATGTACAAGAAATTTCATGACTTCAAAACCTAGCAAGCTACCCGTGACTTATTCAATATGCCAAACACAGTAACAACAAGTCTCACGATGGAGACGTTACTGGGCACACTTGAGGAAATTGATGAACGGCAGGACAGTGCAGTGCAGTGCATCCTCATTTTTCCTTGTGACTGCATAGTATACCATTATTTTTGTACTAGTTTCTTTATCTGATAGACATTTAATTCTCACATGTGCAAAATTATATCTCTCTGTCCAATAGGAGGACTCTGATGCATTGAGGAGTGACAAACACCAACATTTGAGAGACTAGTGTGTCAAGCAGTGTCCCTGTTCTCACCAGTCAACGCCCTTCAACCAGCCATCTATGAAGTTTCCTATTTGACATCCTCTTCATTTCCTCTTGTGCTTTCTGGCATGAATGGCTCCCTCCTCTTTGTACTCAATGAACATAGTTTAAACCTCTATTAGGTGGTGCTGGAGCGATAGACAGCAGGTAGGGTGTTTGTCTTGCAGGAGGCTGACCCAGGTTCAATTTCCAGCATCCCATATGGTCCCCTGAGCACCGCCAGAGTAATTCCTGAGTGCAAAGTCAGGAGTAATTCCTGAGTGCAAAGCCTGGAGTAACCCTTGTGCATTGCCGGGTGTGACCCAAAAAAATAACCCCAAAACAAAAAAACCTCTGTTTGGAGACATACTTCCTGGTGATATTGTGGCTGTTCTCTAAGTATTAAGGTTACTGTTTAGTGTTTTAGCATTTAGTGTTTGTATCATCTCTATGGACTGGAGTGATAGCACAGCGGTAGGGCGTTTGCCTTGTGCGCAGCCAGCCTGACCGAGCTGGGTTCGATTCCTCCGCCCCTCTTGGAGAGCCTGGCAAGCTACCAAGAGTATTTAATATGCCAAACACAGTAACAAGAAGTCTCACAGTGGAGACGTTACTGGGCCCGCTCGAGCAAATCATCTCTACATTTTAACAAGAGCAAGTTGTGTGGAAGTACTACCAACCTCACACTACCATTTTCATTTACTTCCTAAACATTGTTATATAAAATTAAACTCATTCTCTTCTCTCTACCCTCCTGAAGTTCCTCCTCCTTATCTCTTTTTAAGTTTCTTATTTTGATGCTAACTCCAAATCATTATTTCCTTTGCGACACAGGAAGATTAAAGTTTTCAACAGTTTAGAGTGCTGAAAGGAGGTAAGGGGAAATACCTTTCAGTTTCTATACTGCAAACCATAATGCCCAAAAGGAAAGAGGGAGACAGAGAGAGAGAAAGAGAGAGACAGAGAGGGAGAGAGAGAGAGAGAGAGAGAGAGAGAGAGAGAGAGAGAGAGAGAGAAGGAGAAAAAAGTGTCATAGAGGCAGGCTGGAAAGAAGTGGTCCTAGGAAGGATGAGTATTGGAACCTTATATGACTGAAACCCAATCATGAACAATTTGTAACTCTAACTCACAATGATTAAATTAAAAAAAAACAAATAAAAAATTAAGTTTCAACAGTTCGGAAGTTAGAGTTTAAAATTTTTCATGTTTACTCAGTTGAATTAAACCCATATCAGATACCCATAAAGAAAAAATATCACAAAGACAACTGAAAACAAAACTCCTACCTTGACACATCTGAGGCTTAACCTAGGACAAGGGAAAAAGGAAAACCAAAATTGAAGTAAAAAAATTATTCATATTTCCTACTAACTTAGTTAAAATAACAATTCATTGAAACCGATACCAAATATATACATATGAAAACACACATATAATGTTATTTTATGTATATTCAATGTAAGCAAATTAATTTGTGATTTAGACACAGAGATTAATGACAAAATCCAGTGATCAAACAAAACAATTATAATCATATACACTATAGAAAACATGTGAATATGATCTCTTTCCCTTTAAATACCTTATATATAACATTTTGGGACAGCAGTTGATTATGGTAACTGAAATTACAGAAAGCAAACCGTGGATGAAGAAGAACTACTGTCATAATTTTATTCAGTGTGATGAATTAGTACAATTAAAAAATAGAAAAATTTTAATTTAAGTCACGATACTTTATGAAACATTTCAACCAAAATACATTTTATTGAATAAGAATCAGTATAATTTTGACAATGCATGTGGTTGACTTTTTTTTTTTTTTTTTTTTTTTTTGCTTTTTGGGTCACACCCAGCGATGCACAGAAGTTACTCCTGGCTCATGTATTCAGGAATTACTGCTGGCGGTGCTTGGGGGATCATATGGGATGCTGGGAATCAAACTCAGATCGGCCGCATGCAAGGCAAATGCCCTACTCGCTGTGCTATTGCTCCAGTCCGTGTGTGGTTGACATTTTTATAGACAAATGCATCATTTATTTGGATTTTTGTTGTTCAAGCTAATAACAATTAAAAAAATTTTAAAAAGTAATGTGGAGTTCATGCCCAATTCAATCAGCTTAATCAATGACTGAATAAACAGAAGTACTCCTACATTAAAAAAATAAACACAAACACACACACCAACATAAACCCACCGCCTAACCCCTCAAAACTTGTACTTAGACATATAATGTTACGATTATGGAAAATCATAGCAAGAGCAAATTTTGGAAGAATCTGGAGACTAGGGTGTGGTAAGAAAAGATGACTCCTTACTCAAAGAATAAGGAAAAGGAATAAAATAGTCTTCTCTTCAGAATACATACACTCAGCAAGAAAGTGCAGTTAAGGGGCTGGAGAGATAGTATGGCAGGTAGGGCATCTGCCTTGCACATGGCCAACCTGGGTTTGATTCCCAGCATCCCATATGGTCTCTCGAGCACCGCCAGGAGTAATTCCTGAGTGCAAAGCCAGGAGTAACCCCTGAGCATCGCTGGGTATGATACAAAAAGCAAAAAATAAATAAGTAATAAATAAATAAATAAAGTGCAGTTAAACATATAAAGTATTAAAGTATATCTATCTAAAATCCTTGAGTCAGTAAAATTGTCCTTGAAAAAGAATACTACAGGGCCAGAGTGAATAATAATACAGTGGGTAGGGAGCTTGCCCTATACACAGCTAACCCAGTTTCAATCCC